AGGGGGGTACAGGGTCAGGAGAGGGGCTTGGAATATTTGAGTATTCCGCTGGTTTCCCTCACCCGGCCATTCATCCGTCGCCTGCCGCCGATCAATTTCCCATCCTCTTACCTTGGAAACTGTTTGGGGTCACGGCAAATCAATGAGCGCTCCCTCTGACTCCCTCTGACTCCCCCGACTCACGAGAGACGGAATAATTATCCAAAGTCTGTGAATCGGAGTGCGGTTGAGGCGTGGTATGATTTATTCATGCGTTTGTTGATTTTTTTTATTTTATTTTATTTTTATCAGGCGGCTGCTGAATAACAGAGCCGTAACGAGTGCGACGGACGCTGACGGCTGAGAATAAATAAAGAGAATGAGTGAGTGAGAGATGAAAGGAGGGGGGGGGCTGGCTGTCAGGACGGATTGACTCCATCGGACTGATGGGAAAAAGGACGGCTGTTCTGCTCCCTGTCTGCCTCCGTCACCCGGGCTATTCATGTGCTGCGGCGTTTCTTCTCTTTCATCTGGAAATCAACAGGGAATCGGAGGAAATGAAGTCAAAATGATAAAATACAGAACACGATGTGACGGGAATCATTTTATCGCAGTCTTCAGTCTCTGGAATCCAGAACGTAGGATCGTTTCAGTGCTGTTCCTGGACTGTCGGAGCTACACGTTAGCTAGAGGAAAAAACAACGACAACAACAACAAGAAACTGCCGAAAGAAAGTCAAAGTTAGCTTTAAAAGTGCTAAACATTAGCAGAAGATGAAGGACGAGGCTGTAGGACAGTCGGACAGGATGTAGAAAAGTCGTACCGGCTGTAGGCCAATCGTACCAGCTGTAGGCCAGTCGTACCAGGCTGTAGGACAGTGGTAAAGACAGTCGTACAGTAGCAGCTACACCTCAGCTAATCAGTCAGTAACAAGCACTTGGCCGTGGACGAGACCATGCCACTGAGATCGAGCCATCAGCCTCACGGAGAGCGTCGCTTATCGTAGTGACATCATTCTGCCTGATCAGCTGAACTCTCACTTCGTCGCTTCATTAACTTTTTAACGAGCAAACAGACGATTAAACAGCAGCGGCACAAAGGCCAACATTAATATTCATTATGTAAATAATAGTCAGGGCTGTGAGATCATTTCTAAACATCGTTAACGTACGTAAAACATCATTTGAATACGATGTTATAACAACATGTCTCTGGGGGGGGGGGCTAACTAACGCCACCTGCTGACGCCAGAGTGGAAAATTGACCTGAAACAAAAAATAAAAACCAACATGAAAGATCGGTGTCAAGGTTCTGGAAAAGGAAAAATAATAAAAAGAAAAAAGGAATCAGCCTTTGACCTCTGACCTCTGGTGTTATAGCATTTTATTTTTTCTCATTTGTCTCTTCGTACACACAGAAACCTCTGCTATAAATCTACACTGACACGTCAGCTGCTGGTGGTCCGTGGGCCGCGGCAGCTGAGGATCTGGGTTTTAAACTCTATGTGGCCAACAGGCCATTATCCACAATATATCTTATTTATTTATGGAAAATAAATATAAATAAAACACAGTACGTTTTCCTAATTGTCTCTTGTTATTCCATGCAACACATACTGAATGTGTGAGGTCACCGTCGTCGTCAAAGTGTCCAGGGCTTCGCTGCGTGTGCGTCCATGCGTTCGTGTTACTGATGGTGATGGTGTGTGTGCACACATACTCATCTGACCCCCCCGTCACCCCCCCCACACACACACACACACACAGGAAATCACAGTAAAACTCGTTGTTCTCACCTCAGTGCTTTGTTAATTTTTTCACTTTCGTCCAGTTCGGCTGTGAGTTTCTTTACAGTGTCGTAAACGTGTGCGTCCGACACCAGAACACACACACACACACACGTCTCAGCTGGTGCGTGTGTGTGTGTGTGTGTTTCATTGTCTTCCTTCAAAGCCTCTCGATGTCTCGGTATTTCTTACGCAGCATGGAAACCTGGTCCCGGAACAACACGGGGTCCAGCCTCATCTGTGAGTGCACCAGGGGCATGAAGCCCAGCCAATGACTGAAGGCGTTCATGCAGGTCTGACGCTGGGCGAAGTGGTCGGGGTCGGCCCACCGGGACGCCTTGGAGCCCTTGGATTGGAGAAAGAAAAAAACAAAAACAGAGGTGGGACGAGAGAAGCGAGTGAGGAAACAGTCAGCAAACACAGACGACACCACGGTTTGCAGTGCTGTAAAAACTGCTAACTCCAGCATTAGCTCGGACTTTATTTGCCCCCAGATCCTTTGGTTTTATTTTTTATTTTTTTCGGTACATTGTGTTTGTCTACGGTCATTAAAATACTTTTTATAACCTAGTAATAAATAAAACCAAAGAGAAGCCGTGAACTGGTCAGAATTAACAGTAATTAACTGAGATCGTACTGTAGTTAATTATAATTCATTGTTCAACTTGGGCGGCCATCGCTAACTACAGGGTCGCAAAAAGGGCTGCCATCGCTAACTACAGGGTCGCAAAAAAAATCTCAGTTTTGCACCTGTGGGCCGCGGGACACCAGAGGTATGTTGCCCACGAGAAGCTCAGTTACAGTACAGCTTTTGACCACATGGTGGCGATAATAATTCAGTCAGTTCTTAAACAAGAACAAACTCTCGACATTTTTGCCTAGCTATGATCCCGACTTCATCTAACTTAATATTTAGTGTGTTTTTACTGGTGGTATTTGGATCACGACTCCCTGTCTGCAGCGGCACGGTGGCCATGACACGTTCAGTAGGAGCGGTTCTTATCGGTCCAGATGGTGAGGGACGAGGTGTCCCGTCTGATGTGGTTGGACTGGACCCTGCTGCTGAGTCGGGCGATATCCTGGACAGCCTGTCAGATCGCAGACGGCCAGTGTTGCTCACAGCAAAACATATTTGTCTCCATTTGTTCTCCCGAGAGAAGCTGTGTTCATCACTGTGACAGAGTCGCTGCACCTGACCAGCTGCACGGCACTGTGGGAAATCCCTGCTGACACGGCGACAGTTGTCAAACTGGTCGGAAAAACTCCAAACTTTAGAATACTGAAAAGTGACTGCTGGTTTGGCCCTGAGTTAGTGCTGTGGTTGGACCACAGTGGTCCAGACCCCCGTAGTGGACCACACTCCAAACTGATGGACCACTGTTCCCTGACTGGACTGTTCCCCCTCTGCTGGTCACTCCTGTTACTTCATCTAAACTCATTTCACTGGTGAGAGTTTTTCGCCTCAGAGTTGTCAACTCCTATCACCTCCCTCGTGTTAAACGCCTCCTATCTTCTGTGGCTGCGAGCGGGGTAACAAATCAGGGAGACGGCTGGTGGAGCAAGAAAGAAGGAGACACATAATGGGAGCGAGAAAGTGAGGAGGGAAGATGAGAAGGAAGGAAGGAGCGTGTGTGTGTGTGTGTGTGTAAATCCTGGGCTGCCAGGCTGCCTTCACAATTAAGACATTAATCACTGGGTCCACACTGCAGAGTCATCGTCCCGCCGCCGGTCAGGTCATCAATCAGCCACTGACACACACACACACACGTACACACACACACACACAGGGATGTCCCTAAGAGAAGGTCAGGGCTCGTTGGCCTCAGTTGCCCACCTGACTCATCATGGTTTCCTTGTACTGCTTCTTCTGCGTGACTTTGATTGGCGGCTGCTTGGTGACGGCCGAGACCAGGAAGTTCATCAGGATGTCCTCACAGTTGGCCATGTTGTCCACCGTGGTCAGCAGACCGGTCGGCACCAGGTGTGTGAACAAGAAGTGATAATATCTGAGGCACACACAAACAGGAACATGAACAGCTGCTGCTCCTCCGTTTGTTGAGACGGGAGGTGTCGGAGGTCATGTGACCAGCCTCACCTGTGGTAGAACGCTGCCCCCGTCAGGACCATGGAGTAGTCGTTGGTCCACTTGGAGGTGTAGCCCCAGCGGGACCTGGAGCTGTCCCAGTAGTGGCTTCTGGCTGGATAACCCACGATACGTTCTGGAAAGTTCTGCCACACCAGGAAGGAAAAATCCACCTGGGGGGGAGGGGGAGGGGTGAGGAGGGGAGACAGAGTATGAGAAAGACTTCATGGAAGTTTCACTGCTTTAAAGGCTTTCCAAGTTTTCCAAAAAGTAAATATAAAATATAATATAAAAGGGAAATATAAACTCGAACAGCGAAGTTTGTCCGTCTGAGATTATTAAGAAGTTTATTTTTTTTAGAAAAAAAATTCTTCAGAATTCTCTCTACAGACGTGTGTGGAGAGGGGGGGGAGCGGGGACTCAATACTAGTCTAATCTACAAAAGTGTTGCTGCAAAAATGTTGGATTTCACTGGTGACATTAGTCTGCTGAAAATTTTAAATTTAAAATTCTTTTATTTACAAAAACTCTCTTGTTTGTATCTGTTTTTGAAGGTTTTGAAGGTTTTGTTCTGCAAAACTGATTGGTTGCTCCCTGCTCCTCCTCAGCACTCACCTGTGAGGCTCCGCCCACCTCCACACCTGCAGCTGATTCAGCTCGTTAGCTGCTGTGTATTTAAGTTGGGAGTCAGTCTGGAGCTCAGTCGTTGTCTGCCAGTGTTGCTGCCTGTTCTCTCTGAGCTCTGTGTATAATGTAGTGTTACTGCAGTACTAGTACTGCAGGGCTGCTCACATAGTATATCTGTATATTGAGACTACTTCATGACAGTTTGAATGTTTAGTCGGCCTCAGTCGTGTAGCAGGAAATTCAAAGTTGAAGTTTTTTTATACAAGTGAAACTTTTTGTTCACTGGTGGAGAAGGTCAGAAAGGTCACCGATTCAAACATAAACAGTAATTGTGCAAAATCAAATGGATTTTCAGGCGACCTTGAGTTGCATGTTGTTCTGTCACATCTGTCACAGCTGTTGTTCAAGGAGATGACACACAAAAATAATTTAAAAAAAAAAAAATATATATATGTCACATTTGTCACAGCTGTTGTTCAAGGAGACGACACACAAAAATAATTAAAAAAAAAAAATATAACTCTGTTCATACAGATGAACATTTGTGGAAAAAAGATTTTTTAAAAAAAGGAAAAGTGCCACAGGTTTTTACTGACCCTGAGTTTAATACACGGTCGTTGTCGACCAGCGTTACGTCCACACTGGAAGAACTACACACTGCGACACTGTAACGATAATTGTCTCCAGAAAGTTCTAATCAGTGCCTGAACGGTGATTCCTGTTTAAATGGGACGAGGACCATTGCTGCTGGAGAACCATTTCCACATCCGACACATTGAAAATGACGTCCAGGGGGCAGAACGCAGTCGCATACTGCCACGACGGGTGAGGGGGGAAAAAGCTTTCTCTGTGTTTTCTTTTTTTTTTTTGAGTCATTTTCACTTCTCTAATCTCTCTTTGTGGGATAACCATACATTTAATGAGCTGAAACGGTGTAATTATGAAATTGGCACAGCCATTATTCCCCCGGGAAATTACAGAGTGGGGGAAATCTGGTGGTTAAAGGCCAGTGGGGGAGAGAGGGGGAGAGAAAGGGGGAGGAGAGTCTTAACAACATCTTTATGATTCCTTCGTCTCTCTTCTAAAAAGAAAATTAGGGAAAAGCATCTGTTGAAGTTTAGTGGAGAAGAAACTCACTCTTATTGCTTCACATTACTGCCCCCTGTGGTGATTGTCATCACATCAGCGCAGAAGAAACTATTTACATTGATCGATGAACATGTTTATGTTCATAATATATGTATATGTTGACTTGATGCCCACCAACGTGTCAATCAGTAGAGAACCGTGGCTGTGATTTAGCGCCACCTTCCAGGGAAGTTTTGCAGATCAATTTAGTGTGAGCCAATGAGCTGCTTCTAATCATTTGTCGTTATGAAGTTTTTGAAAACCGCAGTGACGTGTCACATGTGTCGCGGCTTCATTTGAGTGACTTAATTGAGGAGAGTTAATGAGTCATTCAGAGTAAGTGGGGAGTTAATGTTGATGAAAAATGAGAGAGCAGATTGACGGCTTTATAAAAAAGACTGTGACGTACAGGCTGGGTTTTTTTTTTTTGGAAATGTTGATGGAGAAAAATACTTCTGACGATGAGTGGAGATTTGAACGGTTGTTACTGAAAACCAACACTTTTTCTTTTCTTCATCTTTCTTCTTTCTTCAGCTCATGATATTGTACTCATTTTCCAAATGACTTGAAAAGACAAAGTTAGCAAAAAAAATACTGTGTTCTTTTTTTTTTTTTTTTATCTTGGACCTCGTCCGACCTTCATCAGCAAACTGGCTGCAGCCGTCACACACGGCCAAGACGTTTGTCACCGATCCTGCAGTGTCTGCTGCTGTAAAGTGAACGGCCGCTCTGTCATCATTTCTCCTACAGAGTCAGAGTCAGAGTCAGAGTCAGGGCAACGGAAACGGGAACGTGAAAAGGACAAGAGTTTGTCCTAACTCCACACAGGTCGTTGGGTTTTTGTGCTTTGAGAATTTTTGAGTTTTTCAACCAGCGACTCACCTCATTGGTGGAGAGAACAGAGTCCTCATCCAGACTGAGAACAGCGTCGGTGGTGACGGCGTCGTGAGGATAAAACCGACTGCTCATCGTCTGTAGAGAGAGAGAAAAAAAAAAAGAATTACAGGAGTGTGGTTAATGAATCTTTAATAACGTGAGCGTCAGTACGAGGCTCAACATGAAGAGAGTCGAAGCCAATCAGCGCTGATGACAACAAGGGTTTATATTTATGCCCTGCTGTGTCTTTCACTCAGTCTGACCAGTTAATTGGTTTCTGAGCGAGTCGTTAACAGGAAGAAGACCTGGGTCTGTCGGCCGAGAGAGGGCTCCTCCTACTGACTGTTGATTCAAGTCTGAATTATTGAACTTTGGGATTTTCAGAAAAAAACAAAAATGATAGAAATGTTCAGAAGTAAATATGAACAAGATTAAAAAAAATGCTCATGATTCTAGGTTAACGTCTGAGACGAGGCAAAATACTTTGACACATGCAGTACTGTAACTCTGGCGAGTACTTTTACTGCAGCTCCGTGTTAATGAGTTCCACTCTGGTGACGCTCTCCTGTGACCTCACGCCTCTGAAGTGCACTGAATTCATTTCACTCCCTGCTGGGCTGAAATGTAAGAAGCTTATCTTCAGCCACAACAACAACAGCACAAATATCTGCAAGGTAGTTTTTGTTTTTTTTCCCTCATTTTTTTTTCCTCGGTTGTTTTTACCCAGCACTAACACGCCGCTCGCAAATTCCTGAGGAAATTAAGCGTAACATCAAACACATTTGCAGAGCGAGCGCCCTAACTTGCTGAAATTGTTTGTGCGAGTGCACAGACTGATGGGAAAACTGTTGGCAGACATTTTTTATTTATTTTTTTATTTTTTTCAAAAGTATTTTTTCAGTTGGATGGTGGCCGCGGTTTAATCAGACGACTAATTAGTGAAGTCAGGACGGTGTCCACGGTGGTTTTTATAACATCCCATCATCCTCTGGGGCAGAGTGTCTGAATTAGACATCACTGTCTATGTATGTGATGAACGTTTACATCATCAGACAACGGAGAACGACTGAACTGAACTGAACCTCGGTCGTCGACTTCACTCAGGAAACTCCGGTCTCTGAGGTTTCTGTCAGACGTACAAACAGCAGCACCTGTTTAGTTGAAGACAACGCTGATATACTGGCAGGAATTGAAGAAAGACACTCACAAAGATCTTCTTCAACAGCTGTGATTATTTAGTTTCCATAGCCATCTGCTGCCACCTAGCAGGAGAGGATTTAACTGCTCTGCCTATCACTCATTGACCAACAACGAAAAAATATTTGCAATAAATAAATAATAGTTTTGGGACCAATTAAGTGACATTAATTTTCCCCGGCACGGTAATCGGAA